TTGGTATACAAAAAAAGTAAGTCATTTTGCTAAATGACTTTTGCCCTCTGATTGCATTTTTTATGCCTATACCATCAGCAAGATCATAACTACCTTTGATTGCAATAGAAACAAATGTGTCACAAGTAAAACACTCCGTCTCATATTCTTTTTCTCCTTTTTTGAAGGATGGATGTTTCTCTTGTAACTTTGATGAAAACTGTGTTTTTCTGTTTGGCATTAGTAATTCAATTTGTACATTATTGTAATTTTTCAAATTGTAATATTCCGACGTTATTTCATATCGAAGAAATATGCTGCTAAAATAAATAATTCAAAAACGTCTAAAAAGCTCCGTATTTACAATCCAAATTTACACAGTATTGAAAAGTTTTCAATGAAAATTAAAAGAAAACACACTAATGCATTTAATGCGTTAAAATGCTTTAAAGCTATATCATTCGAACTCACAAACTTAATTAACGATTAATTTCTTTCTCTATTAACAGGTTTAAATACCCTGGTTCAAAAAGGAACTTTGATTGCACTGAAAAGTTTTTAGTGCAATCAATGCATAATAGTGCAATAAAGTATGTGATTTTAGTGAAAACACATGCTTTATTTTAGCGAAAAACTTTTTAGTTAAGTTTCAAGTAAAACCCCGGATATTTGTGGCTAATTAAAAAAATTTCCGCGGACATATCATTTAATAAAAAAAAAGAAGAACAAATCTGGGGAATCCTACTATAATTTTTCAGGAGGTTTACAAATATACTTAAGCTTAAGCATATTTTTTGTATGATACGTTATTTTAAATCTATATCTAAATAAAGACAGTATCTAATAAAAAGATTATTCAAATAATAACTACACATTTTAACAAATATTGTATAAATAAAATGCTCAATATGAGAGAATGAAAATGACGGTGATTTTTAAGTTAAAGTCAGTTTTTTACGAATTTAGTCGGCTAGTCGGATATTTGACAGCATTCAGTTTGATAAATTTTTGTTTAGAGGACATTTTTTCAATGGAGTCAGTCAGTACTTTGTAAGTATCGCCTCCCCTCCCTCCGCCTTCCATTTTTTATTCCTTGAATCGCCTCTGTATTGTACTGCTTTAAAGCGTATATTTTTCAAGATGTTGGTATTTCTGTAAACATTATTTACAAGTTTACGTTTTTTCTCTATTGTTGCATTTTGAGTTTTTTTTTTTTTTTTTTTCCTATAATATCTTTTTTTTTCTTCCTATAATATCCAACTAAATTGATTTTTTGTCGCATTTTAATAATACAACATATGTTGGGTACTTTTAAAAA